AAGCATCAAGCTCTTATGCTTTTAAATGGTTATCGTTTGCTGTGCGTACTTCAAATTCAAATGTCTGTGCTACACATTCCCCTTCTGTAAGCCAGACAGTTGCATGACTGGGATTTCAATTTCCTTGCTTCAGATTTTTAAGTGCTACTTCTAAGCCTTTGGAAAAGCCCACGTGACTGAGTTTAGGGCAAAGTGTCAGTGTCTGTGCTGCCAAAGCACACAAAGGCACTTAAAGGACACAGTCTAATGTTCAACCCATACATCCAGACCCTCATTTGTAAACTAGACATGTGTAGAGGCAAAATTGACTGATTTACAAAATAAAATGTGAAAGACAAAAGTTGTACAATTCTTTCAAAAACTCTGGGTGTTCCAGGTTATTCTTGTTGAGGTTAAAGCCACTAAAGTTTAGCAATAATTGAGTTTATGGAAAGGTAATGAATACATTGGTAGGATTGCAAGGCATAGGCTTTTAGGACTGTGTTCAGTTATTCAGGTCCTTCCTTGACATTTACCTGCAATCTTTATTGCAATGAAAGCTGTGTTTGTTGAGGAGTCCTTGGCAGTAGTAAATGCTTCACTAATCATAAACTGGTCCCAAAAATGGTTTAAAAAAGCCAAAGTAGACCTGAATAGGTGAGCAGATGAAAGAATCACAGAAGCAATGCTAGGAGCTTGTTATACGGTCGAGATTCAGAGAACACACTAACACAATCTATCAATTTATCTATCTAGCATCCGCCTCGCAAGCGAGAGGACCTGGGTTCATTTCTCAGGCAGAGCAAAATGTTGGGCAAGTTTCCTTACTCCACATGCCTGTTTACCTAGCAGTAAATAGGAACCCGGTTGTTAGTGGGTTGACGAATCACTTTTCCTGGGGGTAATAATCCCTTCAAAAATGTTTTAATAATTTGGTCACTCAATCCACGATTGTTTGTGGGATGCTGCTGTGCGCAATTTGCTGCCACGATTTGCCCACAAAATACAGTCACTGCACTTTACGGAATATTCAATGAAGCGTTTTGAGACGTCTCAAAGATGTGATAATACGCTGTATAAAATGCAATGATTATTATTATTAACCAAGCCAAGTTTTCGTGAGGATTCCAACTTTCACAATCATCTTTGTTACTTGTCCCAGTGTGGATCACATATGATTAGCAAATGAAAAGGGGTTGCAAACTCTTGAGTTACTGGGCACTGCAGCAACAGATATGTGGACTTTATGTTCCCAGTGCTGAACACCATTCATCTATCTTTGATCAACTCTGCTCGTATTGTAGCTTTCAGACGTTAATTGTATATCTCAAGCAAAATGAATTATATTGCCACAGTAATTTAGATATTTAGTTCAAATAAAACTTCTCTATGTAGTTTAACACTTGGCATCCCAATTAATCATATTTGTAAAGGAACATTCAGCTTTTTAATGTGTACAAGATTCTATTTAATTCTAGTTTTAACACAACAAATATTCTTGGACTTAACAACCACTTGCGTTTATATAGCATCCTTCACACGTGTCATGTCACAGAACGCTTATACTATGAATAGTACATTTCCGACCATTTATAGATGACAAATTTAGAACATGCTCTCAGCTCTTGCGTGTTGTGGAATTACAACTTCCTACAATTGTGCAGCACCAATCTGAACATAGGTGGTCAGAACACTTATTGGTGACAAAGCTAGGAAGTTTCTTTTGCTTCCCTTCCTTCGCTCTAAAGGCTGGGAATCGGTTCCACTGGTGCCAGTTGTTCCCAGTGCTTCCCAAACATCCATTCTTCGTGTCCGAGTGTAGAGAGGGACCATCAATCAGAAGTCCTTTTGAGAGATCATCATACCTGAACCCAATCATGCTTTCATCTGATACACACACACACACGCAAACACACACGTGGCTTTTCCAGCAGTCATCCTGGTGTAGTGTTTTAGAGTGGGAACTCCAGCCTTCCCCTTACACCCCCAACGTAGAGCAGCCTCAATCTTTCTGATCGTTACATTTCAATTCTACACTAGTTATTGCCTTTGCCAATTGGGCCCTCGACAAGATTCTCCTTTGTTCACACACCATAATTCTGCACTGCAACGCCTTGGGACATCCTCCTGACGTGAAAAGCGCTTTACAAATGTAATTTGTTGTTTCAGTATTTTGACCCTTAATTTTTAATGGTTCGCATGACAATTAACGGTAGTATTTGATCTAATTTAAGCCTATGGGCATTACTCTTACAAAAGAAAAATTTGTTAATGTGTATTACTTGCATCAAACCCATACTGAAGGGTTTCAAATACATCCTGGCAAACAGTTGCATCTTAACCCTCAGCTTATATTGCTGGAAGCAATTTAAATGTGTTGCCAGTAGTAAATCAATTGGGGAAGGAAGCTGCCTTTATATTTCCTGCTCCAAAACAGCAATGACTAAAGGGAGCTCTGTGCATGCGCATATGCTGAATGCTGTTAAGCTTTATTTATGGGAATGCCTGCATTTATAATGCACATCGATTTCCTGGCAAAAGAAACATCTCCTCAGATAAATTCCATTTGCGAATGACTTCACAATCTCACATCTTAAACCCAACTGAAATGGAAGGTGGTGGGGGTGGTGTTTGGATTGATTTGGCACAATTTGCATGTCAAATTGACACCGTAAGTACGGAATGTACTACATTTGCCCTAAAGCACTGGCCATTACAGTCTGCAGTTATCATTTCATCTCAAATCTTACCAAAGATGATCAAAGTTATTTTCCATTATGTTTCTCCGAGTTAGTTATAGTCAGGTCATGTTGAACTGTATGTAGCTTGTAGCACGTGAGCATCATGAGAGCTTATATTGAAATGATAACATGTTTTGGTCGCCTTTAATTCCTTCTGTTGCAATTTGTACCATTTGGTGCAAGGAAACAAATGAACATACAACTCAAGCCAGTGTTGGGTTTGTAAAGCCTCCACAATGTACAAGTGAAGATCGGTTAAAAAAACCCTCAACAGTCTGCTCTGTGCAGCTGCTACTATATTTGCCTGTAAAGACATTCAGTTTTAGGGACAAATATAGTATAGCTGAGAAAAGTATGCAAGATTTCAGAATGATCTTCAGGTGAGCCAACCTGACCTTATAACCACAGTCAGTGGCGTAATGTCATTTTTTAGGTAATTTTGGGGGGGATGAGGGGGAGGAAAGAAGGAACTTGTAGTTGAAATAAAAAAAGCTGGATATAATAAATAATAATAATCCTTGCATTTGATATAGCGCTTTTCACGTCTTCTCGACGTCTCAAAGCGCTTCACAAAGTGAATTGACCATATATTTGTTGGCGAAACGCAGCAGCCAACTGCACACAGCAGTGTCCCACAAACAGTCGTGGATTGAAAATGACCAATTTATTATTGTTTTGTTTTGGGGGAATTATTATTAGGAGTGTGGAGTAAGGAAGCTTGCCCAAGGTTTCGCCGATATGAAACAAACCAGGATTTCTAGGATTGAGTCAATCTCCTCTAACAGATACTACAACTGTACCATGCATTTGTCAATTTATTCTTGACAGACCTTTATATCCAGAGGGATAGAGAATATATGTTGCACTTATACAAAACCTTGGTTAAACCATGATTGGAGTATTGGGCCAAATTCTGGTCTTCACACTATAATTAGGATATAGCAGCGATGGAAAGAGCACAGCATGGGTTTACGAGGATTATACCACGCGGGCAGACTACCACTATAAGGATAGACTGGATAGGTCAGGCCTTTGTTTTTGCTGGAAAAGATACATTTAAGTGGGGGACCAAATGGAACTGTTTAAAATTATAAAAGGGGTTAATAAGCATCTGTAACCGCGGACACAAACATAACCAAAACTTGATTTACATAGTGCCTCTCATGCAGAGTAGTGTCACAGAGCATTCAGGGATCTAAAAGCGAATTTAGGAAGAAACCACTTCCTGCAGAGGGTAGTGAGATTGTGGAACTTGCAGTCCGAAGTGGTGGTTGAATCAGATAGTGAAGACGCGTTCAAAAGGAAGCTGACCTTTCACATGAGGGGGAGGAGAATAGAAGGGTGTGGCAGGAAGTGAGAAGCGGGTAAAGGTTTGTGTGGAGTATAAACGCCAGCATGGACTGGTTGGGCCGAGTGGCGTCCCTGAGCTGTATATTGTTTGTAAGTAACCACTAATAAAATCTTTCAACCTTGGTTTCCCCAACCCTGCAGATGAAGAATAGTGTTGTCCATTTGTGGTGTAAAAGCTCTGCTGTGGTAACTATGCCAAATGCAAATCAAACCAATACACTCTCAGCCCATTACCTCACAATTGAAGCACATTAAAGTTCTCGGTCATATTTACATCTGGCCCTATAGCTACTGTTCCGTATTGATTTGAGGGTTACTTCAATCATGATTTCACTGTGGAAAGGCGATTCACGCAAATTAAAAGATTCTGGTGCAATGTAGCACACAATGCAGTTAAGGACTAATGTAGAGGCTTGAGAATATCCCTGCAATGGCACATGAGACATGAGACAGCCATTCAGCCGCTCTACTCAATGGGGTGTATATATTTAAATTCACTTTCATAATTCGTCAGTTTTCTATTCCTTTATGTATTTTTTTCTTAATCAATTAGTAACATTCGAGACTGGTTTTCCTGAACATCGGGCTAATGACTACTATGACATGAACCCTGAACCTGAGTTGGCTTATAAATTGATCCCGAGTAGGTAAATTCAAACAGAAGTACTAAATGAAACAATTGCTGTTGTACACAGTGTAGCAAAACTTCAAAAAACAAGTGTAAGATAGAGGTTGAGGGCATCAAGAAAAAATGCACAAATATTTGTGTAAAAATACACAAATAATACACAAAATAAATAATATTGTAAGAGAGACCATGTCAGTTCTCATAATAATAATCCTTGCATTTGACATAGAGCTTTATCACATACATTACAGGATATACTGTGAAATGCCCACAAATATACAATTCTTATTATGGATACTTACAGGACTTTGTAGTATTTGAGAAACTCGCTTCCTCTGGTCCATCATATTGAAGTCCTGTCTCAAGTCCGGGGACATGTTCCTCTCACGGATGTATTCAGGGTCATTCTCATCAAAGCGGTCAAAATAGCTCTCCTTGTGAACCATACTGGGTGGAGGAGGGGTAGTTATCACTCCCTGGTTGGCATCACTACTCATGGTACAGGTTTGTCTGGTCTCCTGCAACAATAAAACGAAAAGTTAAGTTGCTGATGGGTATTGTCCAACACGCACAAAAACAGAAACAGTGTAAGAAGAGGTCCGCAATTAAAGTTTGTAAAATAATATACCACAGGGAGACGTAATTGTCTTCATAATGTTCTCTACTCCATAGAGAGGTTTAATCTTGTGCACGACAAATTAATGAAACAAGCCAATGGATGTAACTTCCTCTGTCCCCAAAACACTATTGGAAAGCAGTAGCGCTGTTCCGTGCATTAAAAGTCTTGTAGAACAATGCTTCCAAATAACTCAGTTTGGTTTAAAACAAAATCGACTTACTGCTGAAAGGAGAAGGAAATACAACTCCCTGAAGCACGTATGAAGGGTTGATATTTTACTTCTTCATTCATCTCCACATAAATTGCAGTTATAACATTCGGCCTCTATGGGGAACAGTGCAGTTCCAGAGCCAGAATCGAGTTCATTAGGTGCCTTGGGTCCATAAAAATCAAGACACTGTGTTATAATAGCGCCTTGGGATGTCCTCCCAATGTGAAATGTAATTTTGTAGTGTAATTTAGTGTTGTATAACTTGTCCACGAAAAAATAGTCACAAGCATCAGCACAAGACTTAATGACAGGCTGACAATTCACCATCAGGTACTTGTAAAGCTTTATCTAATGTGCACAAGTCTCATAATAACATTTGGTATTTCCTTTTGGCCACCTGCATGACAACATTGCAAAACAAGTCTTAAAATGGGTTACACAAGTAAAACCTGTTTAAAAGAAAAACACACGGAACACATCTCTCTTAAGTGAATCTGAAGGCAGTAACCCAATCTCGGAGTTCACCAAAGATCTCCAACTTCAATGTTGTGGCCTCATGGTTTTAAATGTGGTACAACCTTCTATTCACCATTGGAAGTACAGCACTTCATCTACTGTCCTGTAGCTCAGTAGTTAGAGAACTCGCTTTGCAAGCGAGATTCCTCGGTTCAATTCCAGGCAGAGTGAAACCTTGGGCAAGTTTCCTTACTCCACACGCCTAATAATAATCCCTCCAAAAACAAAAACAATAATAAATTGGTCATTTCAATCCACGACTGTTTGTGGGACACTGCTGTGCGCAATTGGCTGCCACGATTTGCCCACAAATATACGATCAATTCACTTTACAGCATATTCTGTGAAGCGCTTTGAGACGTTGAGCAGACGTGAAAAGCGCTGTATCAAATGCAAGGATTATTATTATTATTACTAGTGGTTACTGGTCAAAAAATTATCTACACAAGACCGTAGGAATGCTTTTAAACCTGCAGTTAAAGAATTCTGTAAATGAAACTGTCGAAAAGAAAAAAAAATCTTATTTTCTTCCACAGTACAGATGAGAGAGAACTAAACTTTATTTTTTTAAAGCTAGGTTGGTTGAGTAAGAATCATTTATTTGAACAGGTTTCATAAATATTGAGAAGTTTGTTCATTTATGTGCTACAGAAATTCCCAGCTTTCTGGATTTTAAAGACCTCGAATTTTAAAAACGTCTATGATTAGAGGCAAGAGCATTCCACTTAATACTCCTAAAGCATTCTTTTCACTTGTCTACTTGGAGTCAGCTCTGTTCAACAATAAACCATCGGCGGTCAGGCCTTCAGCCTCTGCCACTACCCTAGGGAACTCCATCTCACAAGACCCACAAGGACAAGATCCCCCTCTTCGACCGTGCCTTCGGCCACCCTCCTACCCTCCCCAATCCTGACCCTAATCCCTGACTGTTCAGCGCTTTGGGATGTTCTCCCGACGTGAAAGGCGCTTTACAAATGTAATTTTGTATTGCAATATTGCAGTACATTAATACAGTAAAAAGAAGTTTTCTGCACAGTGCTACAAACCTGCACACGTCATTACAGCGCACACACAGTTTATCCACTAGACTAGTAAGGCCAACCAGTGAATTCCCAGAGCTCCGCTTTTAACTGATTGGCATTATATCAAGAACTACAAAAGTTTTGAAGCACGCCTTCTACACCACATTCATTCTATACTGTATTGCTTTTCAACAACAAAAAGGTATCTGCCCAAGGAAGCTGAACAATGTTCAACTACACTCTACGACAATGCACTCTATGACAATTCATTTCGATAATGTGAAAAGGCCCCAAATCAAATGCAAAGATTATCATCACTTATTTTATTTGAGGCTTCAAAAATCATTGAAACCATAGTGTATTGTATTGGAGTCACAAGCCTGATTATTAATACCTTCATCTCCCCATATCAGAATTGCCGAGATTTGGAAATGGTCATCCGAGGATTAGCGGGCACAAACCAGGCAGTAGCCTCAGATGCTGCTGACCCCCAATGTCCTGAGCAATTGACAGAATAGAGCTCAGTTCAACAAATCATTAAATATCATCTGATTCTCTAACTAAAAAGAAATGATTCTGCTCCTCAAGATGTATTTTTTTTAAAATCAGCTCATTAACCAATTCTTTTATTTCAGAATTTCTTTTGACTTTTTGGGGTGGGTGTGGGGAAAGCGAGAGAAAAATAATTCTGCTTTTTAATTTACCACAAAATTATTGCTCTTATGAAATAAATTCATAAGAGTATGATTCATAAACCGCAGGAGCGGTTAATTCATAAAGAGTATGATTTTCTTTCATGAGGGAGACGGTAGAAGCAGAAAGTGTTGATTCTTTCAAAAGCAAATTAGATAAGATTTATTTCAGGAAATAATATCTCGGGATACAGTACAGGAAAAACCTGGTGTGCGGTCACCTTGGTAATCCAGCCCCCTCACAATTGCGGGCACTTTTTCACAGTCTCTTTCATTGTCAATGTTAAAAGATAAGCTGTCAGTAAACCGGGCACCTCACTATTCAGGACAACGGTCGTTGCTTGTGGCTGCGACAGCACCCTCCTCCGCTTCAAACATGGTAGAAACACCCCACTCCGTTACTAACCTGTACAGGACACAGTGTGCTAGGCCTCGGGCTTCTCACGCTGTTTCCTCGGTGCTGCTACTGTGGGTGGAGTGAGCTCTGGTCGCGAACATGTGAGGAGTGTTGGGATCGTGGAAGCGGCGTGAGCGGAAAATCGACTTCACCCGGCGCCTGCGATCTAACCTGAGCTCCTGCGGCCAATTTTTGGTAATTGTTGTAAACATGCCACCATGGAAGGAGTTCTCCTTATGTGAAAGGGTGGACTTAATCAAAAACAATAAGGGTAAAAGTCACATAGACAGTTAGCTGTGATCTATGGCATTGGCAGAACACAAGTTGGATGCATTCTCAAAAGGTAGGCTGTATACGTGACAGCTTTTGTTTTAAATGTGACAATGTGCCCAACTCCACTGGTTTCCCATCACACAGAGGATACAATTCAAGATCCTGGTCCTTACCTTCAAAGCCATCCATGGTCTTGCTCCCCCCTACTTCTGCAACCTCCTAACCCCCTACCATCCTGCTCGCTCCCTCTGGTCAGCGGGCTCCGGCCTGCTTCACGTCCCCCGCCTCGCTCACCCCACTATTGGCGGGTGGGCCTTCTGCCACTCTGCCCCCACCCTCTGGAACTCCACCCCACAGTCCCTCTGCTTCGCCCCTCCCTTGCCACCTTCAAGACCCTCCTCTTCGACCGTGCTTTCGATCTCCCTGCTTCCCCCCATGCCCTCCACCCTCCCCGACCTCGGGTCCGAAACTCTGTCTGTCCAATGCCTTGGGACGTCCTCCCGACGTGAAAGGCGCTTTACAAATGTAATTTTGTTATTGTTGGTGTTGTATTTTAATGAGGTTGCAAAGTATGGTTGTTGAATGTTCATCACCCTTAACAATGCCCTTAATATTACATCAGTGACCTGAATCGCCCGACCTGTTTCAGTAATCAGGTCACCTCACTAAGTATGTGTGCCCAGTAACTTGAGTGACCGGATTAGTGAGGTTCTACTGTATACAATTTGGAACACGACATGCGCATGTGACTGCCAGTATGGTGGAAGGCGAACTGAATGGATCTTGGTCTTCTTTCGTCTAGCAATTCTTATATTCTTATAAAATAAGGCATTTAATTGTGAAAGATCTGATGGGACATTTGTCTCACAAAATCTTTCCCCTCTCCCCTTCTTAAAGCTATTCTTACTTAACGCTGTAACAACCAAAGGTTCAAGTGCTAAGATGAGTTCACAAGTAAAACCACAGCTTACTGCTCTGAAGCTTAAGTTAGTGGCTTTGATGAATCATTGTATTATCAGGTACGAATGAGACTGAATAGAAAAGCACAGCAACTGTAGATTTATACAGCACACTTTACAGTGTAAACATTGTTCGGAGCAGATTAAAAGTATTCAAGAATATAGTTTCCTAAAAAAACAACAACAGATATTTCTGAATCATCAGCAACAGCGCCAATGCTTTTGATTGCTAATTGTACTAAAATCAACTCGTTTCTAAATATTTCCTCGCTAAATGGTTCTTGCACCTAAAACTACAACAAACGATTAAACTCTTTCAATAAACTGACAAACTGACAACATCATAAATCGTAAATGGTTTCCAATTCGGGAAACAGTTACCTACTGTCTGCTCCCACTTTTGCAGCAGAACTCTGGTTTACATAATCACGCACACTGCCATGACAACAAGTGTTCCTATTACAAAGCATTCAAGAAAGGATGGTTCAGCAATTGTTGGGAGTGCTGTGTATTCCTGTACCATCTCCAGCTGGCACGAGACTGGGGAGTTCTTTATTTTCACGCACTGAAGCAGCACATTAAATAAAGGTACACATTCCTCAAGACTTCAGTACAACTTACGCTTTGAATATGATACTATTTTGACATTCAATACTGTTCGGCCACTTAGTGAGCCCTTCCCCGTGACCATCTGGCTATTTTTGGTTTGCTCGAATGCTTTGAATTTTTCGCCCCCTTCTCTTACCCCCCAGGGACACACAGTGGCTAGGTTAGCTATTGTGAGTTTCAGGCTGTAACAAATGAATGCGGCTTTCCAGCACAAAAGTAA